CTGCGCGGAAAAGCCCAGACTTGTGTTTTTCAATGCGAGAAGGTCTCGAAAAGTTGAAAAGCTGGAATACGAGGTTCTGCCGAGCCGCTGCCTTTACGCTGATATCGACGGACAGACTCTAATCTCACCATAGGATTGTTACGCCTTTACATCACGAAACTCAATTTTCAGTATTCGTGAAGTGCTGGACTCCATCTATCACTTTGCCTACAAGGTGACGCAGCTTTTGCAGCGATTTATAGATTTTTCCTAGTAATGCATTCGCCATTCAGACCTGAAATACATCCTACGAAGATTCTCTGCGGGCAGTATAGATTTGACATAATCACTAATCTCACTATTTCTTTCTCTGTTTCATGTAACATTTCACGCGAAAGCTGAAATCGGCTAAAACTCTGAAGTTTTGAGCGGTTTTTTTTTTCGACCTCGTGGTTGAGTTGACTATGATTTTGCAGGGTGCTCCATTCAAATTTCAGAGGATAACTACCAGGACCTCAGGCTGCGACTTTTAAAGAAAATCAGCCTTTATTAAAGAGCTTTTTTTTACTGTAGGCTCGACTTTCCGCGATTGCGCAACAGCGGCACACGCAATTTGACGGTAAATTTTGGACCTAGACGGCTCTATTTTCGCGGCTATAATCTCCACAGGAGTGGAGTGTTTGGCTCCAAATTTCCAAAAGCCGGAAGAGGCTTTGCGCTCTATACTCATACAACTGGAGCAATTTTTGAATTTTGAAGGCAAGTCAATGGAGTCAGGTGGGAGGTTGGGGCTGACCGATTAACTTCAATTCCGAAGGAGCTTTTCCATTCCAGTTTCATATGATCCGCTAGCACAAACCTTGAAGATTCTACAATAAACGTTTGAGCTTGCTTATATTTGTTTCGGACTTATGGTAATACTTTAGAAGCACTTTAAAGTGAAAAATGCGGATATTTTGATATTTGTACAGCACTTCTTACCTCCACTACTTAGAAGCGATATGAATTCTAATTTTTAGCATAGACTGGTAGAAAAAATTACTTTGTTATGAGTGTAAAAAAGCTGACTTCTTTCCTTTTGAAAACAAGTCAATCATGTTTGATTTTCACGCTTTTTAGACGATATGAAACACTAACAAATGTAATAGGTAATGTTTTGTAGAGCTAGTATAGGTAATTTGACATGACTAAGAAAACATACTCAAATTACACAGCAAACTTCTTTGGTGACCTTAGTAGTCAGATAAGAGATGGAGATTTGGAATTTGGATGTAACTTCGATTCAATCAGTATGCTGTTCAC